TCAACGCACGATTTTACGTAAGAATCATTAGTTAATGATTCAAGATTTTTTTTTTTAATTTTATTCGTTCACTAGTAATGTAATAATATTTGTTTTTGTTGCTTGATCAACCTTATAAAAATAAAAATCCACAGGACTTAACTGACATTTTCAAAAGGTTGGCGATGGTTTCAACTCGCTGTCTTGTAAGATTATCTGAGAGACGCCATTTTAATTTTTGAAAAGTTGAAGATCTTTTGAATAATAACTGATCGATCTGAAGTCTTGAATCCAGAGGATATTCGATAGAGTGGAAATCTTTTAAATAATACCTGATCAACCTGTAATCTTGGGAGATTATCCGAGAAATGCCATTTGAAATTATTTTTTGTTTTTTTCCTTTGGTTTGTTTTCCGTAAATCTTGTTTTCCGTGCTGAGCACCAATGCTACCGACGCCAGGAAGGCAGCTCCAACACCTGGGCCCTACCTATCGACCCATCAACTCATGAACCGGGGACCAACGGCTTTACTTCCCTTCCGAAGGAAGACTTGATGAGAGATGTTATGCCTCAGAACATCCCGGCGGCGTCGACTGGGATTGAACCTCGGCCTGCTGGGGTGAGAGGTAAACACGCTTAACACTACACCACCGGCGCCACTATTTATCAATCAGAAATGTTGAAAAAAAAATACAGATGAGATCATTTGAATAATTCAAAAGGTAATATGTGATCAACCGAGATTGTCCGAGCATATCTGAGAAAGTAATTTAAATTGTTTTTGAACAGTTGATGATGTTCCACATAGTATTGATCAACCTGATGTATTAAAAGAGTTCATAACTAAAATTTTCGATTTGCTAGACATCTTTTAAATTCTTCCTAATCAATCTGTCATCTTAGAAGATCATCTGAGATACAACATTTGCATTTTTGCAAATTTTTAGAATGATAATTGATCAACCCAGTCCTGAAAAAAATATGTATCTTATCAAATATCCGTGAATGTCAACGAAGTTTTCTAAAATTATATGAAGTACACAGGATGTCTATAAAGGTTCCTTGAATTTACAATTGGTTCCGAAGCTCGCTAAGCTGCTTTCTAATCCCTTGAGCTTATCCGAAGTGAAGGTTCATGAACCTCTACAATGTTTTTTCTCATCTCATAAAAAGTTTCCCAAAATTCAAGGAAGTTTACAGAAATTCTATCATTTTTTAGAACATGAACAAATTTCATATAATTCATGCAACGTTTCCTGAATACCTTTAAAACCCCATAACTGCTAGAAAATTTCTTTGACTTCAACAAAGCTCCCTGATCTTCTTCCAAGCTTCATAGTTTTTCCAAACTCCCTGAATTCTACCAAGAGCTCAGAACGTCTATCAACTGATCCGAATTTCAGTAATTACCCTCAAGTTTTTCAACGAATATTCCGGAACATCTGGGAAGTTCCCTGAAATGATGGTCCCAACACATCTTGAATGCGCTATGCGTTTTTTTAGTAAGATCTCTTCCTAACAGCACACTTTTTATTGAAAAATTGTGGTTACTTGTGTCACAATCAACCCAGGTAACAATTTGATGGTTGACAAGTGTTGTTTAATCAGTTTTACTTTAGCCTACATAGACCACGTTAACCTTTGTTCAGCTTTTAAACATCTAAATCTGGTAATTTTAATCAGCCAAAAGCTTAACAGTTATATAAATTATAAACTTTTTAAGGCATTAAATAACAGTCTTCTCCAACCCTTGTTCAGCCTTCAAATTTTATTTTGAAAAAAAGGAAGTCCACTTCATATCTTATATATTTTTACGGTACTGAAACAAGGTGCTGATTAACCTTTGCATTTCGGGATTCAAACCGGCAGTCGCTGATTCACAGGCATCAATCATAGCTACTGGATCACTTAAGCATATGTGTGGCAAAACGTATGATCATTAACTTGAAACACGTCAAATATAAGTTGAATAACAGCAACCGGAAGAGTATTATACAACAATGCAGAATTTTGAACAACTACTGGTAACAGTAAAACATACCTCTCATTTTCAAGTGTAGTTAACACAATGTGGACACAAGTGCACGATTTATTTCGATGGTCATGTGGAAGCTATTTTAGTGCCATAATTGAGTTAATTTTTTTTTTTTGAATGCTGTCTGAAAATTCAGTGCAATATAGCAGTCAAAACACAGAAAGACAAATTTTAATACTTCCGACGTCGTCGCAGCCCACTTCTACCTGGAGCTTTTCCTAAAAAGCTCCTCTAACGTGTATCTACTGCTGCTGCTGATTGGGATTAGAAAGGTAGGCAGTGAATTTAAAAGAACTAAAATGCCAGAAATGCAACGAGTGACACTGACTACAATTAACCAATTAGGCTATCAAAATATTTGTAGTGCATTGCTGATTTGTGGAGTAGTGTTAATCGAAAATAAGGCTTGCTCAATCTTTAGATCAGCTAATTTATTGAGGTTGAATTATGGGGATACAATTAGCTTCATGCACTACTTATCAATTATTTATTCAGTCTGCTGTTCATCATCTTTGTACACCTTAAATCAAACAATAATCAGCTTATGTTCTTACTGTTCAGCTTGAATTGTTACTTGGGAAGTTGCAGCAACTTATTTCGATGGAAGTGTGCTGCTTGGGCTGACCAATTGCTTTGGAGTTCCCTAAACTGATACGACGTTCTTTGAAGTTCTAAGAAGATTGCTGAATTTTGTTTAGGCTTCTAAGTTTGCTGAGCTTCTACAATGATTTTCGATCTTGTACGAAGCTTCCTGAACTTTTTAAAAATTCGCTGCACTTCCCCAATTACTGAACTTCTACAAGCTCGCTGCTCTTCTTTGTTTCCAGTTGATTTATTTGGAAGCTCTCTTAGGTTTTGTCAAGTCTCCTGAACATGTACGGCATACTCTAAACTATTTTAAGTTCATTAAACTTGGACGCTATACGCCTATAACGCCTATAATTAAAACAAGGTCTCCGAATTTTCTTGAAATTGGATTATCCTTCTCCCACCCTGTGCGACACATTTTCGCATGCTTATTACACGCGCTGTCATAAATTTTAGGACCTCCTCCACCCTAAAGAGTGGATGTCATATTTTAATCACCCCATACCCTGACATAAAGCAGTGTACCCTCAACTTCTAGGAAATTCCAGAAACATGTACAAAGTTCTCACTACTACTAAGTTTCCTAAATTTTTGCAAAGTTACCTGGATTTCAATTTAAGTTATCTAATTCTAGTGGAGGTAGCCCATATTTTGCACCAATAAGAGCAACAAAATTCACCCTAAAAATTGAATAATTGACACATAAAAAACGAATCGATCTGTCAATATTTAAATTGAAATGCACAACAAAAAGATTTGGATGCAACATGAATGAGTAAAATTGCACCTTAAATTTTTAAAACTACTCTATGAAACAAGAAAAATGATGAATAAAAAATATTAAATGTTCTTTAAAAACGTTATGGAAGTTTCCCTGAAAAAACAAAAATGTTGCTTAAGAATTTGAAATGCTCTGATAAAAAGTATGAAAGATTTCATAAACTTCGCCGATTTCTATGGGGCATTTCATCTTTTTTTTTTTTGTTTATTAATTTATTTGATAAGGCTCAACCGAATTAACTTTACAGAGCCGAGGATTCTTGGTCACTATACAATACATCTTAAAACTATAGTCAAAAGGTACAACACAAAAAACATTTTATCTTCCGCTATCCAAAAAGCTTCTTCCATCAGAACTGGAGCCGCTTCCAGTACTTTCATTGTATGGCAAATTGTTGTACGCCAACGAGGGTCAGAGCGCGTCCATTGCAACAATGGACGCAAAACGTGGTCAGCACTCACACACTCATCACGAAACGGTTGCTTTCCAAAGTCGACGACGCATCGACCGAAAGAACTGCTGATGAAGAACAAATTTCATCTTTTAATAGAATTGTTTTCAAAAATTAATTCTTGATTTGTAGCCTTTGGCTAGTTCTTATTGTTTAGGGTGCATTTAATCTTTTTTAGGAAACATTTCAACTATTCGAACTTCTATTGGACGCTTATCCATCGCTACGTTTCAAGAAACAGATGAGTTGTTCCACAAAGAAGATGAAAAGCATTTGCAATGACTACTTGGTAGCGATAAAGCTAAAAATGAAGCCGTAGAAGCTTGATAGCATGTTTGAAATACACGCATAATATTTGTGAAAGGCATTAGCAAAAAAACAAATCCAGGGCTATTTTCATGAAAATTAATCGCAACTCTCAAATATTGTAAAATCTTGTTAAATATGTACGATTGATCCTCATATGAAATCCATAATTTGAAAATAACATTTCATATAATCATGTTACCATAATTGTCTCTCATATATTAGTTCATTTTAACACATTGGTCAGTACATTTGTAAAATGTTCGCAATTGAACAGTTTTAATTTGATTCTTAACATCTTAACAGCTGTTAATTCATTGCTGAAAACAGGGCTGTGGAGCCGGCTCTAAATCTACCGACTCCAACTCCTCTGATTTGAAAACGACCGATTCCGCAACTCTGACTCCGATTCAAACAAAATACAGTAAAAATGTATTTATGAAAATTTTGCTTTAGTACATTTAAGGAAAAAGATCCCATGGGAAATGGTTTGGAAATTGATTGTTTGATTATTTAAAGGCATTTTATATATTTTTTCAACAGAGATCTACGTTCACTGATCCAAATACTACATATTGAAGGAAAACTTTGTGAACATCAATACAGCAATCCATCAAATATTATTTGAATATCATGAGAATAGGTTTCAGTAAAAATCTTCCAAGGCTAATGCTTTTCAAATAAATTTACTATTTTTAATGTAAACACATTCGCAGAGATTCATGATTGCTCATGATACAAATATTCGTTAGATTGAAATTCAGAGCGCAAACATTCTAGTGATTTATTTGCATTGATAACGTCGTGCAAGTAAGCAACACCGACAAACACTACAATTCCAACTCCTTTTCTTTTTCTACTTCCAGATTCTCGCAACGCATCTCCACCACCTCCAAACTTTTGGATTATTAGGTTAAATGTGAACATTACTCATTTGGTAAGATCAAACCCTTGTATATGCACCATGTTTATTACTTCTGTAGTGTTGTCATTCTCCCCCGCTCCAAAAATCCTCACCACCAACCATACCTACCTCCTCGCCCAAGAATCCAAAAGTTTTCACCCATATGAACATGGCACCCATCAAGAGCGAAAAAAACACTGCTCCACTACATCTCGACCTACCCCCTCCCCCATGCCCCACACTATCACGTGTGCCGTGTTTCAACTCAGTGTATAGCATAGTAGAGTTACCCATTTGCGGAAACCCGTAGATCCGAACTTGTGCTGCCGTTTCACATGTTACAAGAACGGATGTATGGGATTCTGCCGATGTATGGCAAAAGCATCGATCGAATCCGAACAGCGCCAACCGGCCACCGTGGTGTATGGTCTCAACGAACCTGCAAACCAAGAGAAACAGACGAAGCACATCAAAAGCTCAACAGAGCTCAATTCCAAATCCTGAATGTGCAGGAATACCCGCACCTCATAGTCATAGTGTTCCAAATCATATGAGCGACACCGTATACGTTTCATTGCTCGTGTGTGTTGACTGTGTGTATGTGTGTATGTCGGTCGGTGAATGGTGATGGTGGTGATGGCAGAAATCGTTGCACCCCAGCCTCCGTGAATCCAAGTGAAGTGATAGCAGACTAGCTCGCAAGTGAATTGAACTGGAGCCAATTGCTCATTGGGTAAATCGAAAACAATGACCAATTGAAGCAATTTTTCCTAGTCCTTCCTTGAAAACATTTTCCCTTTTCCACTCCTCTCCAACCCCATCTATACTATTCATATTATTTTCATTTAGAGTAAGCAAAAATCACACACATCAAAAAAGAAAATGAGTTGAAATAAAAACAATCGAAAATAATTGGCTGTTTCACTTACTGCTGTTTTGTTTCACATCCTGATGTTACAAAAAAAAATACGAAAACAAATTGATCTCATTTCCTAGCTTTCTTATGGTTTTCTCTAACGAACATAAAAACAAAATCAAAAAACTTCTATCGATCGATGTCAAATTGGCCCGGATTGGATTGTATTGGAAGTAGTTGCTGGTTTTCTATCGTTTCCCGTTCTGTTTACTATATATATATGCAACTTTATCCGAATGTACACATATTATCTCTGTTGTAGGTGCTAGATGACTATTAAACTAAAACTAGATTTTTATTACCCAGAATAAAAACGTATCCCTCAAGATTTACCATTTCGAAAATTATTCAAAAGTGCTGGACCAAACGTCTCCATGGGATAACTACAATCGCTACTTGGAAAACTATTTTCATGGAGACGCCTGGTCCTAAATTACATGTGCACTAGAAAACAAATTAAAAGCCGTTTAGTGCCACTCAAGCGGACCTCACACGTATCACAACTGGGTACTGCAGACTCACTTAATATGCTTGTCAACTGCCAATGTGAACTGTCAAATGGGAGCCAAACATCCAAAAGCCACACATGGAGCTACTATTCTTAACTAACGTCACATTTTCATAACACATTATTGATTGTAAGTGAACTATGCTTGCTATGCTAGCACAGGTTTGATAGCTCAACTGGGTTACAATTCCATTGAAACATAAGCTGGCGAAAAAAATTATGTAAACAAACATTATGAAAGTCATGGGGGCTCCAGCAGTCCCGGCTCAGAGATTTTGGCGGAATTCAACTGATGAGCAAAAAAAAATGCTGCTAGTGAAAATATTCAATCAGTTTTCCATCGGCTTGCAAAATAAAACCGATTTACCCCGCAGTGCCCAGATTGACAATGCTCGTATTGTCAATATTTCCATCAATCACATCAATACATCATCAATCATGTTGTCAATAATTCCCCTTCATATCATCATAAAGGATGAGTCGATAATTATTGCGACACTTTATATTGATTGGTAAATCGGATGTAGTAATGATCGTAATGAAAACAAATTGTTACAGTTGAATTTAATAGCTCTGCAATTTGTACGTTTATGGCGGATCGCTTTTTTGGCCCTCTGGACGAAACTTTGACCGTCGTCCCGTGTCGACATGTTCGAATTTTTGCTTCTGGCTTGTGGTCCACTGTCATACATTCCTGAAACTTTTAGAGGACCCTTGAGACGGTCGGACATCAGTTTTCCCGTTGCCCAGGATTTTGCATGTGGATGAACAAAATCCTTTCCCGAACGGTTTGTTGATTTTCTTCCTTCTCGACCGGAATCTCACTGACAACTGCACAACTAAGCGGGTGTGGATAATACACTTTAAAGAGAAATCGGTTAAAATTTGGTTAATTTCGGTCAAGCATGAAAAAAGTTACGCAACTTTAAAAGTGTTGCAATAGTTATCGAATCACCCTCTATGTGTGTGGGGTCTACTTTAGAATAAACAAGACATCACTAATTATGGCAAAGCTTATTTCTCATCAACTGAAATACGGTACTGAGCTCTGCAAAGTATTTTCAGTCTTTTAACTTAATATCACTACGTTCGCTCTTTACAACTCAATGCTCTTATTTTTTGTTTGTTTATTAATTTATTTGATAAGGCTCAATCGAATTAACTTTACAGAGCCGAGGATTCTTGGTTACTACACACCCATTTTTTATCGCTGAAAACCAGCAATATCTTGCTGGATTTTGCCGAGCTGAAAGCCCAGCAATCTATCCAGCAAAGTGTATTTGCTGAACAACCAGCAAATTGATCCAGTGCCTATTTGACAGCACTTAACTGTTAAATCAGCAATGTTTACTGTTTTTTTCCTAAAAACGGAAAGTGAATCATTTTGTTGGAAGGATAGCAATTTTAGATTGTTTATATTTATGTTTTAATAGTTAACAAAACACATTTTATTATATATGCACTGTTTCATGTTTTCATAATACCATCGGTCAAATGAACTAAAATTTGAGTCAAAGGAGTAAATAAACTCTTGTTGAGGAACTTTTGCTGGCCTCCCCGGGTGAGTTTTTAGGTTAAAGGACTGTAAAGATAAAAATAAATAAGCTTTTCAAGTACGTCGACAAAGTATAGAATACTAGCTCTACGATTCCAGCTAAATTTACATTATCCTAATGATAACGTGCCAGCTGAACGCTTCTTAGACTGCAAAATATTCAAAACCGTGAACCAGTAATTTACCAATTAATCTGTGAAGACAGGTCTGAATTTGACATTTGATACAATTAACTGGAACATCCAGCAAAATATTTCAGACCACTGATTTTCCAGTAAAACATGATTTTGCTGGACATCATCCAGCAATTCGTTTTGCTGGAACTTAATTTCAAAATTTGGTGTGTATAAAATACATCTTAACACTATAGTCAAAAGGTACAACACAATAAACACTTTATCTTCCGCTATCCAAAAAGCCTTCGAGGGTCAGAGCTCTTCCATTACAACAATGGACGCAAAACGTGGTCAGCACTCACACACCCATCACGAAATGGTTGCTTTCCAATGGTTGCTGCTGATAAAACAGACGATCGCGTGGCACACATCAAGAGTGGCCTGCTTTTGTCGACAGCCGAGTGAATATTGATACTCTTAAATTTGATACAAAATTATATATTCGAATGAACATTTTCGAAACATCCTCTTCCTTGAAGTAGATATCAATTGATTTGTGATTATAAAGCTTAAAATTTTAATGAGTCGATAGACCTTGAGTGGAGCTAGGGCTTGTGGAGAATTGATCGTATTATGAATATTTCTCTTTTCTACTTACATCAATATTTATTGAGCTTAACGTGCTGTTCTACATGGTACACTTTTAGACTAACTGTCATAAGAGCTATTTCAAAACATTTTATTATTTTAAATTTTGAGTTTTGTGTGGTAAGTATGGGAGTCTTTTACTGCCAATCGATTTAAGTCGTGTTTTCAAGATCATCGACTTAAAAAATAGTTTATATCCCAAAGCTGGGACCCAGCTTATAAGAAATGTTTAAGATCTAGCCTAACTCAATGTTCAATTTTATTAAGGAATCTTAAAGCGTTGTAGATTTTAAGGGCTTTGAAAAGCTATAAACATGTATAAGATTACACCTTACCTGCAAAATTAAGAAGATCATAGGCTTGGTTTTTTATAGAATCACGCACTTGGAAAGTATTCACGACTATCCTGATCATATAAATAATTCAAACTTTAACAGACATAAAAAAAATAAGCATTGAAATACTTTTAAAGCATCCCTGAACTCAACATGGATTTCAAGAAATCAGGTTAAGGTTGTGTTCATTAAATACGTCGCTTCTGTGTCACGTTTTTTCTTTGGTGCGGGGTCAATAAGGCAAATTCCATTAGGAAGAGAGCCATAAGACCGTGAGCCATTAAGCTGAGAGCCATTAGGTTGAGAGCTATTTGGTCAAGAGCCATTAGGCAGAGAGAAGAGATAAAGTAGCCTACTTCTAAAATCTCTATAATAAAGAATAAAAAATTATAAATAAATAATAAAATATATAAAAAATTAGGCCGAGAGCCATTAGGTTGAATTCCATTAGGTCGAAGGCTATTAGGTCGAAGGCAACCAGGTCAAAGGCAACTAGGTCAAACGCCATTAGACCGTGAGCCATTAGGTCAAACGCCATTCGACCGAGAGCCATTAGGCTGAGAGCCATTACGCTGAGAGTTATTAGGCTCAGAGCCATTACGCTGAGAGCTATTTGGCGAAGAGCCATTAGGTCAAGAGCCATTAGATCGAAGGCCATTAGGTCGAAGACCACTAGGTTAAACGCCATTAGACCGTGAACCATTAGACCGTGAACCATTAGACCGTGAGCCATTAGGCTGAGAGCCATAAGGCCGAGAGCCATAAGGCCCAGAGTCATTAAGCTGAGAGATATAAGGCTGAGAGTCATTAGGCTGAGAGCCATTAGGCTGAGAGCCATTAGGCTGAGAGCCATTAGGCTGAGAGCCATTAGGCTAAGAGCCATTAAGCTGAAGGGCATGCACTAGTCTTTCAGTACTACTCAGCCTGCTGACCAAATATTCAAAATCATGCCATTACTACATTAAATACTTTAAATACACTCTTAATTTCAGTACATTTTTTTAATTACTCACATAATTTTATATATAAATTATTTTCAAAATAGTTGAATTAAATGTCATCACACAAATTATCGTTAATTATTTGTTTTTTTAAATACCACTGAAAGTATTTCAATTCAAATTTTTACTGTCTTCAAAGTATTTAAAATGCTACGATTTATTTTAAATATCATGCACTCATATCTGGAAGGGCGCGCTTCTCGCATTAAACTGAGAGCCATTAGGTTAAGAGCTATTTGGCCAAGAGTCATAAGGTCGAATTCCATTAGGTTGAATTCCATTAGGTCGAATTCCATTAGGTCAAATGCCAATAGGTTGAAGGCCAATAGGTCGAAGGTCACTAGCTCAAACGCCATTAGACCGTGAATCATTAGACCGTGAGCCATTAGACCGTGAGCCATTAGACCGTGAGCCATTAGACCGTGAGCCATTAGACCGTGAGCCATTGGGCCGAGTGCCATTAGACTGATAGCCATTAGACCGAGAGCCATTAGGCCGATAGCCATTAGGCCAAAAGTAATTAAGCCACGAACCATTAGACCGAGAGCCATTAGGCCGAGCGCCATTAGACCAAGAGCCATTAGGCCGAGAGCCATTAGGCCGAGAGCCATTAGAACAAGAGCCATTAGACCAAGAGCCATTAGGCCGAGAGCCATCAGGCCGAAAGCCATCAGGCCGAAAGCCATTGAAAGGTCGAAGACTAATACGTCGAAGGCCACTACGTCGAAGGCCACTACGTCGAAGGCCACTACGTCGAAGACCACTACGTCGAAGGCCGAATGCAATAAAAATCAAACATAAATTAAACAGCGTCAATTGGCAAATAATTCTAA